CCCAAATGAAGGCTGGGCATAATAGGACAAAAGGAAAGTAAAAGGAAATAGAGGAAAGAAGTAGGAGGTAAGGGGCATTTATAGAAGTTTAAATATAGGCATGTGCATATGTAGATATATTTCTATATGACGATGGGGAAATAGGTTTAGTATTAAGGTAGCAGATGGACATTCGACCTCTACTCAAGTACTCCCTCAACACAAAACACTTTTTTGTATTAACCTGTTATCACATGATGTTCACTTTCCCGACACGGATCGCTGAAGACAAAGTGGGTGCATAAACAAATGTGGCAAAGAAAGCTGATGGTGTCCGGTTATCAAAAGATACAGCATCTGGGGTCTTAAAGGCTTTAAGATAAACAAGTGGCTATCGCACCAGCCTACCCCCACTATCATGACCCCATTCTACCATACAAATCCGGCTAGACCAGAGCATGTACATTAGTACAGATAAGAGCTCTCAACACACGGAATCCAGGATAGATAAACCTTCAGGAACAGTAATGGGGTAGCGATACCATGAGGGTAGGGGGAAGGTGGGGGGAGAGAAGAGGAACAGATTGTAATGATCGAAGTATAAAGCCCCGTGCCCTCCCCGCCCCCACTGCCCCTGGAACGAACAGAAACATTCGTGAAGGGAGACAGCGGACAGTGTAAGATATGAAAAATAATAATTTATAATTTATCAAGGACTCATGAGGGTGGGAGAGGGAGAAACAAAAAAGGAGCTGATACCAAGGGCTCAAGTAGAAAGACAATGTTTTGAAAAGGATGATGGCACCTTATGTACAAATGTGCTCGACACAATGGATGTGTGGATTGTTCTAAGAGCTGTAAGAGCCCTCAATACAATGACTGATTTTTAAAAATCTTTGCAAATGGACTCATGAGTAACATGAGCAACGGAGGAAAGACTGAAGTGGTCAAGGATTTCACTTTACTTGGATCCACAATCAACGCTCGCGGAAGGCGCGGTCAAGAAAGCAAATGATCTCCTGTACTGGGCACACGTGGGGAGTTCAAAAGATGCCACTGTGAGAGCTAAGAGGCCCCCGGCCCACAGCCTGCACGGGATTCTCAGCGGCCTCAGGTCTGTAAGAAAAGCGGGCAATGAATAAGAAAGACTGGACAGGAACTGAATCATGGTGTTGGTGGACAACACTCAAAGTGCCAGGCATTGCCAGAAGAACCAAACCGTCTGCTTGGGAAGCAGCACAGCGCCCAAGAGGCAAGGGTGATGAGACCTCCTCTCACATACTTCGGACATGTTACCAGGAGCGACTGACCAGTCCCTGGAGGAGGACATCCTGTGTAGTCGAGGCCAGCAAAAAAAGGAAAAAAGAGGATTCCTAACAAATGGACTGATACAGTGGCTGCAGCAGTGGGCTCCCACGCAGCAGTGACGGGGAGGCGTGTTCTGTTGTACGGGGTTCACTGTGACTCCAGCACTGACCGCCACCACCAACAGGAAACTCACTTTAAACATCATGGTCGGCATCGGTTGCAACTTGCCAGGCCAGAAGCACTTCCACGTGGGCAGTATAGGACCTCCTGGGAATGGTCGCCATCACCGGTTTCCTGAGAGCTCTGGAAATGACCCTCAGTTGGACCAGGGAAAATGACCGAATCCTGGTAAGAGCAGTAAAACTCAGGGCCTTCTGACTTGTGCTCCTCCCACCCAATTCTGGAGTGGCCTTGGACACTGACAGCCTTCCGGTCACAGAAGCCCTGGACACCAGCAGCCCGGCAGTCGCTGGGACCAGAAGAGGCTTGGAATCCTGGAAAAATGCCACCCCCACACCCATTACTCTGACCTGCCTGGCTGTTCCCTGTGAGGCGTCCTTTAGTTGACCTGACTCAGCGCTTAATCAGCATGAACTGCCTTTCCTCCGGGCTGTTTTTTTAATAACAATTAAAAACAAAACACAAACCCACTGTCACAGAGAAGATGCTGACTCGCCATGACTCTACGGGACAGAGAAGTGCCGGCCCCAAAGGTCCCTGAGGCTGTGTTGTCTACGGAAGCTGACCTGTTGAAGAGGAAAAGAGGGGAATGAGAATCCAGAGGGGGCGCCTGGGGAAGCTCTAAGGTATTCTTGGGGCTCTAGAAGGCTATGCAGAAGCACAAGCTCTCTGGCTGACCTTGAGTCTCTGTGCAGGTGAAGGTAGAATGGTAAACTGCCTACAGAGTAGTGAAGATGGGTCCCAACATGTACACAGACACTCGGCAACAACGAGAGAGAAACTGTTTTCGAAGGCATTTCAGAAGATCGCTTCCAATCATTAGCTACACACTAAGCAAACAGACAGCCGAAGCTTTCTACTTCTGTGAAGAGTTCAGTCTCAGAAGCTCACAGGGGCAGTTCTACCCTGTCCTATGGGTTGCTGTGAGTCAGTACTTACTTGATGGTGGTGAGTTTTCAGCAAACTGAATGGACCTCAGTCACCACCTGCGACTTTGCAGAACTGGTTCAGGAGTCCCTAAACACACAAGTAGCAACAGCAAAAACAAGTTCCGGGGAGGGAGGCCAAACCACCTGGAACCTTTCCATTTCCTAAGAGTCCAAGCCACAGTGTCCTCTCAAAGGAGCACGAAGCTGGCTCCTGTGTTCAGTCCTCCGGTCCTTGGCCCGTGAGCACGCCGTTCGGGAGAGCAGGGAGGAAAAGCGCATGCAGGGATTGAGTGGAGGGATGGTCCTGGCCATCTTCTAGCACTGTCTAGTAATTCCTTCTAGAAAAAGGTGGGGAACAGCCTCACACTAGAGAGGGCAACACCCAGTAAACGTCGGACTCCTGTGGACACTCTCCTGGAAGGGGCCAATTGTATGTCAATGTCAGTAAGAGCAAGGTTGTATCTGAACACCAAATGATCACAACCACCGTCCAGGAACCAGAAAGCAGCTGTCAGGGTCAGTGATATGGTGGAACAGCTGTCACTCTCCTTGGCCTTCTCTACCTGGGGGAGCAGATGGCACCCCTGGCCTTCTGGTGGTTGAGGAGGGCAGAATGGCAGCACCATGGGATGCTGACCCAGTATCTTCTCCCTATGCCTCCTGTGAAGAGAACCACACCCCTGAGCAGAGCTGCAAGGTCCTCAGCCCCCAGCGATGCTCACGGCAGGTGAAGGCAGTCACAGCACTCCGGATTTCCACTCATCTCGCCTGCTGGCAGCCAGGCAGAACCAAGCGGCCAAGCACTGTCCAACAGGATAGACAGTAGGCATCTGCTGGGCTGGATACTTCTGGGGAACCAGTTAAAAAAAGCAAGCAGACCAGACAGGTGCTCTCCCCCTCTTCCTGCTTTGAACACAGGTAGGATGCCAGGAATTGCAGCAGCTACCTTCTTCCCACAGGGAAAAGGCCAAGAAAACTTGAGAGCGGTTGGGCCTGAGCTGCTGAGCCCCCAGCCCCCCAATTTCTCGCCAGGTGAGGAGCTCGCACTCCTCGCTTCTAAGTAGTACTGATAGCTGAGTTTCCTGTCTTGTAGCCTCAAGCCTTAATTGGTGTGGTGACGGCGTCAGACACACAAAATCACCTCAGCTAGAGAACGCTGGGACCTGCTCTCCACGTTTCCCTCCTGCACAAGGCTGAGGGAGGACGCAGCAGTGGGCGCAGCTGCAGCAGCGGCTCTCCACCACAAAGGGGACATGGGCTCTGTGGTCGTTACATCGTTTCATGTCGCCTTGATAAGGAAATGCAGAGGTGGAGTCTAGCCTGTCAATCAGTCACAGCCGATGCCTCCTGGTGGGTGTGGCCTTCTCCTGAGGGCTCTGGGAAGGAGAGCTGGACGAGCCGCGTGGAGACCCGCGCCAGCACTGAGCTGCTTCCACTGCCATTGGGTCCTCCAGACTTTCCACCCACCGGCCGGTGCTCTTCCTGCATTTGGCACCACTGCATGTGCTGTGTGAGTCTAAAGAGGAATTTACAGACTAATACTGGGCATGTGGGCTAATATCAGGCTTACAGACTTGACCTGGGCTGGGATGTTTTCTCCTATGCAATTGCTCTTTGATATATAACTCTCTCTTACACATGGGCATCTCTGGAGTTGTTTCTCCAGTCAACCCGGCCTAACACAGGCTTGTCTGAGGGTAGGGAGCCGGGGGACAGAGCGAGACATGCGAACATTAGTGACGTCAGGGAGCTGGTTGAGCAGCCAGTCTGAGGGACGTTTCTCTTGAACTTTTATGAGAGCCAATTTTTTTTTTTTTTTGGCTTATTCCAGGCTGGCTTTTTTATTCTTTCAGCTAAAGGAGTCCTCTCGAAGACAAGGAAGCCCTCACTGTGTCAGAGGCCGGTCCAGGAGCACTGTCTGCTACAGCTCCATCAGACCACACTGAGGGAAAGGTCAGAACCAAAAATGATGCTGAGGGACACCACGGTCCATGGGCCTCACAGTCCCCAAGGACAATGCTTTCTATCCTACTTTGGTAACTAACAACGGGGGCCTTAAAAACTCAGGAGGAGAGAAGAGTGATAAAACTTGGAGGTGTACAGAAACAATCAGAACACACACACATCCACCTCCATGCTGGAGACCAGAACTAGGTGGTGCCCGGCTACCAACACCCACTGCTCCGAAAGGGCTTATTAGAAGATCCCAGAAAGAACAGGACAATGTGGAAAAAACCTCAAAACCCCACGAGACCAGGCTTACTGGTCAGACACACACTAGTGGGACCCCAGAGAGGACAAGCCTTGGTCTCCCATCAGGTCTGGAAATGGCTCATTTTTAGCCAAACAATATAAGCAAGCCTATAAGGAGAACAATTAACACTAGGGAGGTACCGGCGCCTGCGAACCATCAACCATTCCCATTTACCCCAGGACAATGTTCACGAGGGCTAGGGGAGGAGGAGGAAAGGAAATGGGAAACAGGAAGTGGCAGGGGGTGGCCACCAATGACACGAAACGAAACGTGTGAGACTTCCAACAGAAACCAGATCTGCAGCCAGCCTTCACCCAACTCTCGGGGGCGAGCTGGAGGAGCACCTGTACCTTCTTTGTGCTGCTTCTGCTCAAGTTTCATCTTCTTCGCCAGTAATTTCTTCTCTTTTAGCTTCTGTCTGCAAATGGAGAAGTCAGTGTGACTGCGTCCACATTACGTGAGGGACACAGAAGACACCCCCACCCCACCCACGAGTCTGCTACTCTGATGTCATCAGCAAGCTGTTTCCACTGGGGAGCCCGCAGGGGACGACAACTCTCTCAGACACAGGCGGAGGTGTCCTTTCAGGCCAAGACCCTTCTCGAGGCTCATTTGCTAAGAAATGAAAACGAAAACACAGGCGCGCACACACACCACTGGTAATCACATCGTCACCCGGGGAGGCCACAGATCCCAATTTAAGGAAGAAGGGAAGTGTGTCCACAGCAGCATTGCAAAGGAAGCACCCAGAGCCGTGCCAGTACCAGAGTCCCAGCAGGAAGTGACTGGCTCTCTCCTCAGGCACTGGAGGAAAAGTCCTCCCTCTACCGGTCCTTTCCACCACAGGCCATGATGGCCTGGATGTCTCCAACTCTTAGCCAGCCAGGATGCCCCTCCCTGCCCTGCCGCCCTCACCGCTTCTTCCGCCGCTTTGCAGTCTGCTCCTCGGCAGCCGTCTTGTTCTTTTCCAGTCTCTTCTGAAACTCTGCATCCAATTTTTGCTGCAAAAAACCCCACACCATTAGTCTGGCTCAACTGCAGAGCGTTTCCGCTTGGGCTGGGTATGAGAATTCTAGAAGTGTACCAATGGGTGCATGTGCCCCACCTGGGCTGCTTGCTGCTAGGCAGTGCTGCGCTGGGCCAGCTCAGGGACCCGGCACCGCAGCGGCACCACACTGGCCGGCCCGGCGCACTCTACCATCGCTGTGAGGCTTGTGCCAATCCATCTTATGGAGGGTCTCCCCCTTCTCCGCTGACCCTCTACTGTACGAAGCATACTGCCCTCTGTCTGAAGGATGCGCCGCCTGTCTTGGAAGACGTGCAGCTGGAACGCTCCTTGGAGATGTTTCAAACGGTTTCTAGGGACTTCACAGCAGTGCGTCTACCAAGACAGGCTGGTGTGTCTCCCGGCGGTCCGTGCTGAGTCAATGGCCTTCACGTGGACCCTTCGTCCCAGGACAGCCATCCTCCTGCAGCCCTTCTTGCTCCCTGCCCAGCTCTCACCTGCAGAGGTGAATGGAAGCACTAGGGCTCAGGGTGGGCTCACCTCAGTCCCCAAAGTGACATCTCTGGGTTTGTTTGTTTTTTAATGCTTTAAAGAAGTCTTTTTGTAGCAGATCTATTCCACAAGTTGGAACAAAGTCAAAAGGTATGGCTCGCTGATGGCAGGGCTGCTTTCTGTTCGGTAAGCTCCTCTACACATGGAACAAAATGTAAGTCCGAGTGCACACACACAGCACTCCCTGAGGGCTAATGGCCTGTCTCTTCCTAGCCAGGGCCAGGGCCAGTGTCTGGAGCCCATCAGATGGAAAAGGCTAGGAGGGCCCAAAGGGCTGGACGTTCAAGTCCTCGTGCTCGCTACAGTGACCTACAGGGCAGGGCCGGCCGAGCCGCCCACGCGGATTTGGGAGACGGCGAGTCTCTGTGGGAGCAGAAGCCCCGTGTCCCCTGCCGAGTGACTGGTGATTTCTAACTCCTGAGTTGTGGTTGGCAGCCCAACACGGAACCCAGAGTGGCCACGAGTTTTCTGAGTCTCACTCCCAGCTATGATGGCCCTAGTGGAGCAATGGTTAAGCATTCGGCTGCTAACCGGAAGAATGACAGTTCAAACCCACCCAGTAGCTCCGGGGGGGAAGCTCTGCTGATCTGCTTCCGGAAACACAGCCTAAGAAACTCGATGAGGTGATTTCATTCTATCCCTCGGGGTTGCTATCAGCTCAAATCAATGTGATGGCATCGGACAACAAGAATCCTAGCTATGGTCACTGAACGACTGATTCTAAAGTAGCCGCCACTGCTACTAAACACACACACGAACATCATATTTGGTAAAGTTAGGAGGTCAGTGAAAATGAGAGGCATTCTCAATGCGTTTGTGGTAGTTCTGTGATCTGGTGTCAATCTGAGAGGATTACGAGTGAAGTGGTGGAGTCTGGCCTGTCAAGCAAGAAATGAGGCCTCTGTGTGGGCATGGCCTTCCCCTGAGAATTCTGGGAACGCTGGTATTTCATCCTTGGAGCTGAGAGACTTCTCTCTTTTCACTTTGCAGCTGACAAGACACATGGAACGACGCTAGCATGCGGAGCTGGAGAAACCACAGGGACCTGCCCTGATGCAAGCAGACCTCTGAAGCCAGAGAAGCCACGTGGAGGCTCCTGCAAGGGCCGAGATGCTTCCACTGCCACTGACTTTGTACCTGCTGGCCTGCGATCTTCCCGCGTTCAGTGTCATTGCATGTTTCTAAAGAGGACTTTATAGATTGGTATCGGGCATATGGATTAATATCGGACTTATGGACCTGATCTGGACTGGATGGGGATACTTTCTTTTTTTTTTTTTTTTTTAATTTTAATTTTTTATTTTTTTTAACATTTTATTAGGGGCTCATGCAACTGTTATCCCAATCCATACACACATCAATTGTGTAAAGCGCATTTGTACATCCTTTCTCAGGGGATACTTTCTTAATGTACAACTACCCTTTATATAAAACTCTCTCTTATACACATACACTTGTCTATGAATTTGTTTCTCTAGTCTACCCAGACTAACACAGTGATGGACGGATAGAACGCACATCTTCCAGCATGAAGATGACACAGAACCAGTAATATCTGTTATACTTAAGGTTGCCACAAGGTGGTGCCAATTCAACGGAACTAAGGCGAGAACAGACTGGAGCAGAAAGCGTCTTCCCAGATCGCAGCTGAACTTGTAACACTGTCACCAGGGCTCAGAGTGGCGGCGGGTGCAGACGCACCGACTCGATGGCACTGAGTTAACCAAGAGAGCAGAGCCCTGGCGGCGTAGTGCTTATATATTGGGCAGCTAACCGAGAGGCCAGCAGTTCAAAACCACCAGTCGTGATGTGAGGGAAGACAAGCTTTCTTCTCCCGCAGTTAAGTCTCAGAAACCCAGGTGCAGTTCTACCCTGCTCTACTGGGTCACCATGGGTCAGAACTGAGTCTGTGGCAGTGAGTGCACGAGAGGACAAACATCTGGTGCTACCTTCCCTTCCTCTCAGCCATAGCCACCAAGGCCAGCAGGGAAAGGGGAAGGAGCTGGCTTGGGGCGGGGGTGTCCTCAACCCTGCTCTCTGCGCTGCCAGGGTGCACAGATCTGTGCAGAGGGCAGTGTTCTCCTTAGAGCAGCACACGGACACGATATGCCGCACCTGTCTGCAACGAAAACCGCTTTCATTCCAGGGAGACTAGAACGCAAACCACATGAACCTGGAAGCACCCGTGTCTTTAGAAGCTGAGCTACACCTGGCTTCCTCTGTGTTGCACAAGCAGCTGAGTGCACTAGCAAGTAAACAGAATGGGGGCGGGGAGCCTGACCGCCTGGAGGTCTCCAGCAGGTACAGGCCCGAGCTTTCAAGGTATTGTTGCCAGCACGTCTGTCAATCAGTGTGAGCGGGTGGGTTCTCTTGCCTCTGGGGTGGACTTAGTCCTCGGAGCTGCCATCGGGGAGACAAGCCTTCGTCTTGTACCCATGCCAAGGTTTGTGCAATGTTCTTCTGCATTTCCCCTGACTCTTGACACGCTATTTTAAAACTTCAGACTAAAGTGGTGTTTGAGGGTAGAGTCTGCTCCATTTCCTCCTCTCTGAGCAGCTTTAAAATGAAAATACTCCTAATCATTTCTGTGCTCAAAGCTTTGTCTCTCACAGTGGAACTCCATTACAATGAGCTGGTACACAGATGGGGTCAGTCACGTAAGCCTTCCTTCTCAAAACTCACACTCACCGCCACTGAGTTGATTCTGACTCTGGACAGGACAGCGTGGATGGAACTGCTCCTGTGCGTTTCCGAGACTGGGGCCCTCTAGAGCAGGGGTCCTCAAACTGAGGCCCACCGAGGACATTTATCCTGCCCATCGGTGTTTTTGCCCCATTTGCTTTTTTACTTCAAAAGAAGATATGTGCAGTGTGCATAGGAATTTGTTTATAGTTTTTTTTTAAAACTATAGTCCAGCCCTCCTATGGGTCTGAGGGACAGTGAACTGGCCCCGTTTAGAAAGTTTGAGGCCCCTGCCCTAGAGGAGGAGGACTGCCACCAGAAGATGCTAGTGGCTGAAAAAGAGCCACTGACATCTCACTCAGTGCCATCGAGTCCAGGCTGCCTCACAGCAGCCCCTGTGGGATGTTTTCTCAACACACAATTTCTCTTTACACAAAGTTCTTATCCACGAGTGGATGTCTATGAATGTGCTTCGCTAGTCCGCTCACACTAACACGCCTACCTTCACCCAGGAGTGTCTGGCTGACACAGACTCTAACCATATGTACTTTGGATATGTTTCCTGGAGGGTCAGTCTCTGGAACAGGGCTTGAATCTTCTTTGAGCTCAGCAAACTTATAAGCAATGTGCGCAGTATGACAATCCCATACGGGCACGTACCCCAGCACTGCCCTGGCCTGGATGGTTCAGGATGACATGACCGCCAGCACAGTGACGCAGGCTGCTTCCATCGGTCCAGCATGTTTGCTGTCCCCAGCCACACTGCTAAGGCATACGTCTTCGATGGAGACTTTCTTGACCTTGAAGCCTACACTGTCCTCAGGCAGAGCTTCACTCAAGGCTTCGTGGTGGTTTCAACCCTCTGACTGGAGCACCGGTGACCACCAGGCCAGGCTTCCGATCACTAGTCTCCACGCTGCCCACAGGGACAGCGCTGACACCATGGGTTTTGCAAACATCCAAGAGGTGCAGGTTCAGGGGCTTGTCAGCTGGAAAAGTGGTGACAGAACGTAATCAAGAAGCTCATGCAGTGTGGCTACACTG